TCCACTGCAGGATATTTACACAAAGTGTCGGTGCAGGCGGTTATGTAGGGCTCTGGGTCAATGTCAGTGTTACAGGAGGAGAAGGGCGCCTCCTTCAAGAGATTACAGCTTTACCACAGAAAGAAATAATTGGAGAAAGTAAAATTATCATCTGTGATCAGGAGTGTTTATATTCCATCTGTACAGATGACAGGTGGCAGATGCTTATTGTATCCATAAAAGCCATTAGCATGCATAAAAATATGATGGCACAGATGAAGCACAAGGACCAGTACAGGAGAAATATAGACACAGATGTTTTATGTTGGCTGAATCAGTCTGCTTACTGTTCAATCATCTTGTTGCATTTGATTGTGCTGTCAGCAGCATCATTGTATTTCACCTCACAACTATGGGGCAACACACAACACAGAGTCAGGACAATTGCCTGCTCAGTCTCAATAACACAAACATGCAGAATATCCACAAACTATTTGTTAACGAGAAGCAGTCAGAGGGACTCTGAGCTTGTGATGAGGTCTTACCTGGTGGAGCTGTACTCAGAGAGCCTCAGGTCACTCACAGACCTGCTGCAGTTTCCACACAGACCCTCTAGAGTTAAATCAGCAGGTCCTGGAAAGGTTCAGGACACAGTGTACTTTTTATGTCATAAATTGGAAGAAATGTGAGTATTTTTCTTATATATTTTAAACTGATCAGGCATAACACTATAAACTCCTGCCTAATATTAAACCCATGAATGTGTAGTGTGGTATCTGGCAATGAGATGTTATCAACAGGTCCTTTATTTCCTATAAGTTGTAAGGTGGAGCCTCCGTCAATCAGACTTGTTTGTCCCACATATGCTCGACTGTACCCACACACATATGTGGGGCCCAAATAGGGAGTAGCAGGGCCAATATTTGGGGCCCACTTGGGAAATCCATCTGGGGTCCAGCTAATTTTGTCCTCAGTTTCCATGGTGGCCCCAAATGTGTTTGCCCAGATGGATTAATGATGGGACCCCGATGGGCCCCAAGTCATTGAGATCTGGCACTTTATACAACTTTCCTCATCCACCCACTCACTCTTTCATAAAAGTACTTTTTTCTACGCTTTTTCTACATTCTACTTCGTTTCTACTTCCTCCAAAGGGTACTTGGACCTCCCTTAGAGACAAGGTGAAGAGATAGGTCCTTTGAGAGAGGCCTAGAGTAGAGCTGCTCATCATGCCCCACATGAAAAAGGGCCAGTTGAGATGGTTTGGACAATGTCTGAAAACATTACCTCTGTGTGAGATGTACCTGGCATGACCTACCAGGAGGCCTGGGGTAGACCAAAGACATGTTTGAGAAATTATATCTCTTGGCTAGCCTAGGAACATGTGGTGTTCACCTGGTAAAGCTGAAGGAGGTGACCAGGGTGACCAGGAGGTGACAGAGCAATCATTAGCAGATAAATCAACAGAAAGGAGGGATTTTTTTTTTACATTGCATGTACCCTTTACATTCCCCATTGTGAATAAAACATTTTATTTTCAGTACCTTCTAAGTGGATCTGTGCAG